TGCTTTGCATCATCCGGGCATTGCGATCTCAACCCATAATTCCAATGGGCGCCGGAGGCTCCGGGAACTGTGGGATAGGTACCATAGTGCAATGCGCCGGAAGTCGACGCTAGCCTCGGTACTGTGGACGCGGTCCGCCGACTTCATGCACTTAGAGAATTTTAGGTGGGGACACACACAATCGGCTGCATACAACCGGTTTCTATAAAACCGGCTTCTATAAATCCGACCTAATTCTGTAGTGTAGACATAGCCTCATTAACTAAAGGTGTAAAATGAATCCCCCAGGCTTAAGCCAAAGCAGGAACTAAGGCTAATTTACTTCTGAATGACAGCATCCACTCAGGGAATTAATGCTCTTTAACTTCACATTTTTAGTTAATCAATCTTAATTTTCCAGTGTTCCCATATAGACAAGACCTAAGCATTCACTCCTTCCTTCCTTATTCATCACTGAGCTGCACCACTGTTCCAACAGTATCAAAACTTCACAGTACTCTGCCTTCCAGCCAGCTATGTCTGAAGATAAAATTCAGAGTGCCTGATGCTCCATGCTGCTCCAAGTAAGAGGGGGCTGTGCACTGAATCTTTTTTTTCAATCAATTTTGTTATTAAAGTGTATCCGAGTTGAAAGGTCAAACTCATCTTTAGTGTAACTTCACTGCCTACAATGAAGTTACGTGAGTATTGAATTAGGACCTAGTATTTTAAAAGACAGCGATATGAGAATGTCATCTATGTAGGACTGAAATGGGGAACAATGATGAAAGCCCTCGTTGATATGACTGCAGGGCTCATCCAAATGCATTGGCTTGTTTAACATACAATATTTTGCTGTTCCATTTTGTTAATTTGAGTGCCAGCATGCTCTATGGGACCTACCTGGCTACCCAAACATCTGTTACAAGTTGAGAAAAATAAGAAAACTTGGTGCAGTCCATCTTCCTTCTCCACAACTTTTTCTGCCTTTTTTTTCTCCTTATCAGTAGCCAGGGCTTTGGAGCTGTTCTCCGACTCTGCTCCAGCTCTAGGCAAAAACCTGCAGCTCCACTGCTCCGGAGCTGCTCCGCGCTCCAGCTCCGGGCTCCACTTCAAAGCCCTGATCAGTACTGCATCTTACAACCAGATACTTAAAGGAAAATGGTATTTCCTAGAGGCAACATCTCTCAGATCATTTATACTACTTATATTTAGCATATCATAGCTTACCTGTTTAACAGCATAAAGGAGACGCCCATAGCAGTATATCATGACCATTACAGGGATGACCAAGCAGAATATGAAGAGACAGATGATATAGGACACAGACTCAGCTGATTTGGAGGTCCAACGTACTGAACAGCTTGTGCCGGCCCCCTCAATCCCATAACTGCTCCAGCCGATGAGCGGTGGTACTGTCCAGATCAGAGAATAAAGCCAGGAACCACCAACTGCTAGCAGAGCCTTCTGATAGTCAGAGCCTCGTTTGTTACATAGGGTGATGGTGCTATAGCGTTCATAAGACAGGATAGCCAAGGAGATCAGGGACACAATACCTGCAAAAAAAAAAAAAACAATTTAGGGATTTAGTACCCCTGTTTTATATGGCACCAATGTAACAGATATGACAATATCCTGGACACACATTACTGAATTATAAGTTTAAACCTTACTGAATTACGTTTAAGTATTTTAGGAGTACATTGTATTGAAAGTGCAAATGTTTATGTACTATTGAGGGATTGTATGAATTACCATGGGGATAGGGGACCATAGTCCTCCAGGAACTAAGAACAGTGGGAGGGTGATTAGGCAAATTCATTCAAGTTTCAACACCTCCAGAGAGGTGCCACCAACTGATGAGAGAATCACTAATATTGCTTCAAACTGGATTCTCCAGAGACTAAAAGTCAAAGAAAAGATTTTTGGTTAAATAGCCTGAGTTAAAACTGACTCAGGGCCTTCTCTCTGATCCAGTAGACAGACAGAACCTTCTGTCCCAAGGGGAGCCCAATCCTCAGGGAAGGGTTGGAAGGTCTTTGGCTCATTGAAGCCCCATAAGAGTTGGGAGCTAGTTCTGAGCTGAAGCTTTGATGAAGTTGTGACCACAGGAAAAACCACTGTGTGAGGTTTGAAGGACTAATCACCAATCAGAGCCCTTGCTGGGATTCATGGGGAGATGCCTGATAAACTGATTAGCACATGTGTAGGTTCTTTCATTGTTTTTAATATGTTTTCTCTGCAACGCTTTCACCTTAAGAATAAATGTGCTTGCTTAGAAAGGGCCATGTGGTAACTTAGCCATGGCAATTACATTGTGTGCCATCCCAGCCGCTGGCCCTTCACCCAGGGGCTCTTCTGCTGCTGGCCCCGCACCCGGGGCTCCACTCCTGGCCTCAGCCCGGGGCTTCACCGGCTGTGGTTCCAGCCTCGGCTGTCTTTCCCCAGTCCACGTCCCCACCTCCCGGAGCAATGGCCCTGCTCCCATCCCCAGCTCTAGCACCCCCACTCTAAAAACTGTTCCAGCACCACTGTGGAAGTGAGTGAATGTTCAATGCTAACTAGCCATTAATTATATTTAAACAACTAAGCCACTTATGTAGGGTCTAAACATAAATCTGTTACCAGTTCCTTCTCAGATGAGCCTCTTACATGTCCTGCTTACCAGGAGGACATCTGTTTGTGATCATCAACAGACTTTTGCAAGAAAATGTCCATCTTAGACTGGAATCTTTTACTGTGACCTCAGATCAAGATACCAAATTATTGGTTCCTGATGAGCTACAGTCAACATGCTCAACTCTTTTATTGGAGAAGGATGGTCCCCAAGATGCAGCAAGAGGACACTGAATGCTACAAGAGACTCTAGCCATGTGGAAGGAAAGGGTGGGGACTCTCTCACACTAAAAATTATACCTGAAGTTATATCCTGCTCTCATCCCTGGATTGACCATCCAGAGAAGTGAAAGACCCTGACCATCAGCTAAACCAAGCCTGAAGCTACAAACAAGGGGGGAGGCACCTACCTGCATGCTAAATGAGCTCAAGTTATTTGCAACATCAGAACTATTTCTTAACTAAGGGCTTGTCTACACTACCAAGTTTTGTTGACAAAATTTATGTCAACACCCAAAAGTCGACAAAACAAAAATCACCAAAGGGTGTTCACACTTGCTCCCTCTGTCGACGGATTATCTCCAACAATGCTATAAAGTGAGTGTGTGGTTTTGTGCATCCCTAACCGTTTCCCCATGAAGACAGTAATCCCCACCCCCACTCCCCACACGTGCACATCTGGCAAGTTTATTTGTAAGAGACTAGTTTGGGTTAAAAGTGTTATTCCAAAGCTGCTAAGTGCCTGATTTAACACTTCTGCCTCTTTGTAAAAGTGTCAGAATGATGCAGACACTGTATAATGTGTAAAAGAGAATAAGTTAAGTAAATAGACTCTAACATCGGTTGTATGTTCAGAGAAACTTAGTGGAATGCCAAAGTGGGAAGCTATAAAGAAATCATTCTGAGAGTTATACTTCCTTAGAACAAAGGTAAGAGTCAGCTTCTGTCTTTAGCAGACTTAGCCCAATTAGTTAGATCAAAAGAAAGGTATTTTTCCTTAACTTTCCTGTGAAATATTGAATTAATTCTTGTGTCAACCTTATACATTGACTTAATAGTAATTGCCAAATCAGATAAATTGAACCATTGATTTATTGATTGAATTCCAACTGTAACCTTGATTTGATCATCACATTGTGTTGTATTTGATTAGTTTAGGGAAACTGGAAGTAAATTAGTTAGTGACATATTTTGCTTAAATTTATATTTGTTTGCTTATTATCTTAATAAATCCATAAAACACACAAGACTGGTTCCTCTCTCAAAACTTCAGCATGGGAACACAACCTATTTACAGGTAAAGGTAAATACATTGAGTAGCTCCCGGACCTGCATTGTAATTATTTGATAAAAATCTTATTACCACTGCACTTTCTTTGAACTAAAGAAAGTTCTCTTTTGAAATAACACAGAATTGAAGTTCAACTACTAAATTAGGACCAGGCATCATCAACCATGAACTAACAAAATATTAGCAATCAGTTTAAAACATAAACTACCCCCAAAACACATTTTCCTTTAGAATATTGCATAGAAAATCATTTTTCTTATCTACACAAAAAATTACACACATACATTCCTTGCCAAAAGCCATTTCAGTTTTACTTCTCTTTTATTGAGTTTCACTGACATGACCCATATTCTACTTCTCTCTGCAGGACCAGGGCGATGATATATGTGATCCCAATGAACTCCCACAGGAGTTCTAAAAATTCATATTCCTCTTTTTGTCACCGTCAGACTTTAAACCATGTATTGTATTTGAGCATATAACGGTGCTGAAACTAATATCAGGCCACACTGAGTCTGGTGCTTTTAAAACAGTAGATTGTTGACTGCAATGTGAATAGGTGGGAATTCAGAGAAGAGCACGGAAAAATATGGAGGTGCTAAGGAGAGACTGATTTATGATGGCATGGACATGAAAGAACACACTGTGTAAGTTGGCTAAATAAAGACTAAGCAGTTATGAGACATAAGAACGGCCGTACTGGGTCAGACCAAAGGTCCATCCACCCAGTATCTTGTCTACCGACAGTGGCCAATGCCAGGTGCCCCAGAGGGAGTGAACCTAACAGGTAATGATCAAGTGATCTCTCTCCTGCCATCCATCTCCACCCTCTGACAAACAGAGGCTAGGGACACCATTCCTTACCCAACCTGGCTAATAGCCCTTAATGGACTTAACCTCCATGAATTTATCTAGTTCTCTTTTAAACCCTGTTATAGTCCTACCCTTCACAACCTCCTCAGGTAAGGAGAGACAACTACCTTTTGAAGACTACAAATACTGATGAAGTGGAAAATGGTTGTACAAGGGATTGTATAAAAAGAAGCAATGAGATAAAATTAAGAAGAGCCAAAACAAACAAACAAACAAAACCCCAGGGTTATCATGAGGGAACACTTCCTAAGAATGAGATGTATTATAATGGAATAGGTTAGCAAAAGAAATAATGGAATCCCTTTCACTTCAACATTTAAAACAGGACCAGACAGAGTAGTAGAAGATACACAATAAGGACCAATCTTATACCAACACAGAGGTAGAAAGGGGGACTGGTGACCAAACAGTTCTTGTCAATCTCTACTTTCAAAGATTATCTTTTATTTATTTTCCCCTAACTTTTTGTAAAAAGTTAAGTTCTTCACCATCACCACTGACAGTTGAAGCACCGTGAAAACATGAGAAATAACAGGTTTAACTGGCTAACTTGGATTGAAAGATTCTAATTTCATACCAACGGAAAAAAACAGGTGCTGATTTTCTAGTTTGAAACTGTGAAACTACATAAATACCAAGGGAAATGTAACAAATAGCAAATGAACTCTCAGGATAGAATGAAAATTTACCACTGGATACAAAGAGTTTTTTGGGTAATTCTCCTAAAGATGATTCTTCACAAAAATTTCTGCATATTTTTATACTTTATGTATTAGTTGGCAATGAAAATAAGACGGTCCCAACTGTCCCTAAATGGATTTCACAATCTATACTGGTGTATAGATTGAGAAATAGAATTGTCAACAACTTTGGAATCCTTGCTTAGCTAAAGTGGTATAAATCATATTACTCCGTTATATTTCCTATGTTTATAAAATCAGAGTCTACTTGATGCAATATAAGTCTCAACTCTTGTGATTTTCTTACTGTGAGTTTCACAGCAATGGACGCTTTCCTAAAATCCCCAGCTGCTGCAGTCATGTGTATGTGAGAATCAGTTTTTAAAAAGAAAATCAATGTTTTAGCCTGCATGGTTGCAGAGAAAAGCATGAAAAATGTGACACCCTTCCCAAGTGTACCCAAACAGTTCAATCACCATAATGCAAATAAAAAGAACCCAAACTTCAGTGTGGGGCTTTTTCTTAATCTCTTGATTTTTAAGACAATCATGATATTTCAGGGCCTGACTGTTTGATGATGGTTTGCCCTTTGGCATCAGCAACACTGTGTATATCCATGCCCGTAAAGAAATGCCGTCTATAAATAGGGACCAAACTAAACCCACTAATTCTAGACCTGAATCTGCTTTCAATTTAAAGGCAACAGCAAAAAAGCTCAGGGCCAAATCCTCAGCTGGTATAAATCTGTCTAATTCCATCAAAGTCACTGGAGCTACACTAGTTTATACCAGCAAAGGATATGGTCACCACTCACTTCAGTGGGAGCAGGACCGAGTCTTCCATTTGTACTCATGGAACCCTCAGCTCACCCATGTCCGGAGTTTGGTTTTATTCATATTTTGAAAACAAGCAATAGCATAACAAACTGCAGCACAAGTTTCTCTCTGAGTGTGGCCTTTGTTAGGGTTTCCCTTCTGAACTCTGGCCCAGATCTACAAAAGGACTTCAACACCTAAATCCAACACTTAGCAACACCTAAGTCCAACTGTCATCAATGACTTTGAGTTTGTTAGTTTTCTTTTATACAACTGTAATA